TTTTATGAGATAGGGTCTTGACAACTATTTGCCTTTGAACTGCGAACCTCCTGACCTCAGCCTCCTGAGTTGTTAGGATTATAGGAGTGAGCCACCAGTGTCCAGTTCAGAAAAGTACTTCTTAAACATGGTTTAAAAAGCACAAATCTCAAAAATCTGACTATATAATATCCTCCAACTAAAGACCACAGGGAGCACACTAACCTTTGAGCAAGTTGGGTTGTTGTTCACTGTGTGGGGGAGGATGCAGTCCATGGGGAACCTTGGGGTGTGTCAATGAGGAGTTAGTAGAGGCTTACAGCATTTGTGTTCCTGCAGGGGATTGGGGAGGGTTTAAGGAAACAGGGCATTGCTGTGGATTAGGCACCATCAGAACTGGAAGCATATCTGATTGGACCTCAGTAAGTGTCTAGGATGCTAACACTGCTGGAGGGGCAATAACAGCAGTCACAGTTGGCAGTACACAGTGTTCTGCGTCACAGTGGGGTGACCACGGCTCACAATAGCCAAGTATGTGTCTTATTAATAACTAGAAGAGGCACTCAGTGGCTCCAGACAAGGAACGACAAGGAGACAGCAATGTTAACTCCCTGATTTGATCAGTATGTGCCATATTCATGTATTGAAATGTCACCCTTACTGCACAAATAAGCACAATTACTAAGTGTCACTAGAATTTTAAAAATGTTTAAGAGCAAGTATGAACTGCCCTGATTCGATCATTACCACTGTGTACATGTGGCAAATTGTGACCCCCACCCCATGAGCGTGTACAAAGGTTTAAAAAGAAGTGACGGTTACTCATATTAGCCAGGATGGAAGAACACTTAGTCTATGAGAACACACATATAAGAATCCTTACAAATAATAAGAGACAGAAGAATAATACAACAGGAAAATTGAGCAAAACACTGAGCCAATAAGAAGCTTGAGATGACTGACCTCAATAGTAATTGGTGAGATGTAAATTAAAGGATTGCGAGATACCTTTTTCTCCTCCTCCTATGAGTTCCTGGGGACACGGTAACAAACATCTATAAACTTGGGGTTTAAGACAATGCAAGTTTCTTCCCTCACACTTCTGGAGGCCAGAGGTCTGAAATCAAGGCATGGGGGGCCAGGTTCCCTCCAAAGGCTCTGGAAGGATCCATCACTCACTTCTTTCTGCTTATGGGGCTCCAAGTGTTCCTAGCTTGTGCTTTGTATGTCTGCAACCTCATCTTCACCTACTTTGTCCTCGTCTGTCTCAAATCTCTCTTCCTTTATCTTTGAGACACTTATCACTACACTGAGGACCGGCCTGGACAATCCAGCATGACATCATTTCAAAACTTTTATTTTGTTCCCTTTGCAAAGACCCTTTCCTCCCAATAAGGTCACAGTCACAGATTCCAGGGGTCAGGACACAGGCACGCCTTTCTGGCGTACATATCTAACCCAGTGCACTTATAAAAAAAGTAGAAATGCCAGGCGCCTGTAACCCTAGCTACTCAGTAGGCAGAGATCAGGAGGGTCACAGTTCAAGGCCAGCCCAGGCAAAGACTTCATGAGAGCCCCATCTCCAAAATAACCAGGACAAAATGGACTGGAGGTATAGCTCACACAGTAGAGCATCTACTTTGCAAGTAGGAAGCCCTGAGTTCAAACCCCAGTCCCACCAAAAATAAAAATGAAAAAACACGAACCAAATAAACAATAAACCAATGGGTCACTTCCAAATACCATCACATTGGGGTTTAGGGCTTCAACATAGGGATGCAGGGGACACAATTCAGCCCATAGCCACCTGTTAGTTCTCACTGGGGGGGGGGGATCATAGCCAAACCTCAGCCAGAGCTGACTGCGCCCTGACATAACCTGCCACTGACCTCCCCAACCCCCAGGTAGTGGTTACTTCATGGAGAACATGAATGAAACCCCCCAGGGGAGAGCCACCTCACCCTCCCTCCCCACTCTGCAAGTCCTGCCTGTGTCTACACACTCAACCTACCACAACCTAGCATGACCCTCGGGTTTGTCCCCATCAGTGCCCAGACACACCCCGGACCACTCCGCCAGCCATCACACCACTGCCTGTGTCCATTTAGTCACAGAAGGCCTTGGAAGAGTCGTGGAGGTCAGTGACTCTCCGCCCCCGAAGAGATGGTGCCTTCCAGGGGACATCTGACAGTATCTGGAAATACGGTCCCTTCCCCGCTGACACCTCTCTCCAAACAGGACTCGGGGTTCTCCTCCTACAGCACAGAGCCTGTACCTCAGAAAGCAGCTTCCCTCCACCCACCCTTAGCTTCAGCGGAAACCTGAACAGCGCCCCCCGCCAGTGCTCCCTCTCCTTGACCCCCAATCCCAGCCCCGAGTCCAGGATAACCCTTGAGTTCTCCCAGGAAGGCTCTCTGCATGGGCCCGCGCCCACCCTCTGAACAGCCAACGCGCTTACCAGGGGCCATTCTCTGGCCTGGACAGACCCAGTGGGCTCCCCCATCTCCCTGCCCCTGCTTTCTGCTGGCCCCAGCAAGGTCATTCAAATGAGGTACTCAGATGGTGCCACCTGCTTGAGACCCCCTATGGCTTCCCTTTGTCATAAGGATAGAATTCCACTGCCTTGTCCCACGGACAAGGTTCTCCTGGCCTGTCCCCTACCGTATCCCGGCTTACTACAGGGCAGCCATACTGGCTTCCTCTTTCCCAAGGACCTTTGCTCTTAGCACGGGCCCTGTTCCCACAACTCTCTTCCTGCACCTGCAAGTGTCTGTTTCATTATCACCCCAAGGAACTCAGCTCAGAGCCTGCCTCAGCCTGTCTAGCTCCATTGCCAAGATGTGACCATCTTGTCTGGTTGTCACCTCCCCTCTGCACTGGGCACTCTGAGGAAGAGATAGGACCACTTAGCAGGTGCTTAGTGGATATTCGTGGACATCTGAATCCAAGGCTTTTGCTCCTAACCTCTGCGACCTGTGAACATGACTTTGTGTAGAAAAAGGGTGCTTGCAGGCATGATGAAGGTAAGGATCCTGACGAGATGGTCATTCATTCACAAGGGTCCTCGGAAAGAGAGGTGGGACACTAGTGGGGTGCCCAAATGTGCTCCCAGATGTAGTTTTGGTGACTGACTCGCCTTACTAGATCCTGCACTGCTCAGTTGCTCATTTCACTCCCATTTCCCCATGCACTTGGAATTCAAGATTAAAACTCCTCTGCCCCAAACTGTTATCTCACTGACCACAGGAACCAGGAAATTTTCAATCAGCAATACTGGCACTAGTATGGAAGCCTGGCACCAGTGAATCAAGAGGTACCTGTACTCAGGGATCCTAGACTTTCCTTTAAAAACCCTAAATTCCTCCCTGAAGGTGAGAAGTCAGCCTTCTGCTGTCCTCTTTTGCCTGTGAATCAATAAATGTTGCTTTTCTTTTCTTCAAAAATCCTGCTTTGTTATTTGGCGTTGGCGCCAAGTTCAGGGACTGAATTTTGGTAAGAGGAGTAGATGAGCCCTAAGATGAAGGCCACGTGCAGATGGAGGCAGAGATAAGAGTGATGTGGATACAAGCCAAGGGTGTCTGGGCAGCCACCTGGAAAAAGCAGGAAGGGCACCCCTGATCCCCACCCCTGCAACTTTCAGAGGGAGCAGGGCCCTGCCAACACCTTGGTTGTGGACTTCCATCTTCAGGATTGCGAGAGAATAAATTTGTTTTCAAGCCATGTCTTTTGTGATCATTTGTTACAGCAGCCATGGGAAAACAATACAAAGGACAGGAATCGTTTTCTTGTGATGATTTTATTTTATATGTTAACAACTGATGGCTATGAGGTTGGTCAATATTTTATTTTATTTTATTTTATTTTACAGGCTATGCAGGCTTCTTGATTCAGTTTTCTTTAAAATACAGCTTTGCTGAGCTAGGATTCACAGACATGCAACCCACCTGTTGGAGGCCCAGCTCCACGCTGGGGAGCTCCTCGGTGGCTATGCCCCATCTGCTGCTCTTAGATGGGTCTGGTCAGCCCTGTGTCTCTCTGGCCTAGTCACTTAGTGGGCTCACATTGGAATTTACATCTGAAGCCACCAGAGGTTTGTTGTAGGCTGTGGTTTTCAATGGCGTAGTCCCAGTCACAGTCAAGTGTTGTCCCAGACATCCAGCTAGGCCCCTGGCTTGCATACTGTGCCAAGAAACTCTCTACAGCCTTCAGTGAGGAGGTGTTCTTAGTGTCTGGCTTAAGGAGGGAGAGAATAGGGTTAGGCCACCAGCGATGGACAGTGGCAGGGCCTGAGATCAGTCATCTTCCCAGAATGCAGAAAGTGCTCAATAAATACTCATGGAAATATTAGTAACCACCCTCATGGCAGCACTGGTTTTGTGTCAGGAGTTGTGATCCTCCTGTTCTCTCCTCACGAGATTCTCTGGAAACTCATGACATTACATGCTATTGTAACTTCAAACAGGTTCAGAGAGATTAAGCAGCTCTCCTGCAGTCACACAGTAATCAGGAGAATAAACAAACAAATGATGTTCTACCCAGGACACAGCCCCTTGCCCACAGCCTCTCAGCCCCTCCTCTGCCTCAAGTACGCCAAATGGTCACATGAACGTGAGAATGAAGGAGCCACAGTTGCTAATCTGGACAGGGACACCCTGACTGTGGTGGGGGACAGACATAAGGACTTAGTGCAGGGGCCTCCTTCTTCTGGAACACCCGCCTTCCAGAACTTTTCTTTTTGCCAGGTAAGTCTCTGCCAGCCGTTCCTGCAGGTACAGGCCCACAAAGCAAGCTAGCACATCCTGCCCGACCTGTTTCAGGCCAGCTATGCCAGGGAGACATTGGGAAAGGGGTAAGCCTGAGAATCGGGAGGCAGCGCCCCACCCAGCTGTCAGGTTGCCCCGGGCGGCATCACTCCATTGCCAGGCGTGGGCAAGGAAGTCTAGTGGGGTCTTGGAGCCACCTGGGAGGAGTGGCAGAGGCAGACGCAGGAGCGAGACGGAGGAGCAGAGTCCACATCTAGACGCGTAATGTCAGCCAAGGGTCCAGGCTCGGAGCCTACACTGGGGTACGTGGGGCTGCAGGGGCCAGGGGCAGAGAGGCCTTAGGACAACAGGCCCTGGGAGGGGGCCAGAGGTTGGGGTCACAGGAGAGGGGCAGGGCCAGCAGTCCAGGGGGCGAGACCACCAAGGGGCCTGGGACTGCAATGCAGCAGCCAGATGTGGGGGCTCAAGAGAGAGGCATGGCTTTGTCCTGCCCTGTCTGTGCTGCATGGCCTCAGATCGGTTGTCCTTCTGTGGCTCTCCTCCTTGTGACAGACAGCCTCCTGGGAAGCACCCTGGAAGCCAGGGGTGGGGACAGCCCAGATCCTCTCTGGAGTACCCGGGGCTAGGGGAGAAGGCAGCTCTGTTGGACAGATGAGAATGTGGCAGGGCTGTGATCAGGGAGTCAGGAAAGAGGGAACTTCCTGGGAGGTGAGGCCAATGCTGAGTCTCTGGTTTCACGTTTAAAAAGCCACATTCCCTGTTCATTGCTGGTTCTAAAAGTAGGATGTTCTCGAAGAAAGTCTGGAGGGTGTAGAAAGATGAGGAGGTAATAAAGTACTCCAGGCACAGGTGGGAGTGGGAGGGATGTGGGCCCTCAAGGGCCAGTACTGGACCCCTCGTTCAGCAGCTGTGAGGGGGCTGCTCAGCTGGCCTCTGTGCCTCAGTTGCCACATTCTTACAATGGGTGCTAATAGCACCCGAAAGGCTTAAATGAGATGATGAGGGCAAAGCACTCGCTGCTTTGTGCCAGCTTTGCCTTCTTTCCAGCCTTTGTGCCACAGTGTATTTTTTGCCCTTGGAATAAGGCACAGCCCTCTGTGTGACAGTTCCCATCAGGCTGTCAACTGGCCCAGCTGCATCTTGTTTCTGAAACCTGCCCCACCAGGTCTTTGCACATGCTGGTCCCTCATCCAGAATCCCCACCGTCTGTCCGAGAGGCCCCTCTTGCATCTTCACTGCAGGTAGAGCTCCAGCCGGCCTCTGGAAGGAGCCTGCAGCACATTGGCCCTCTGTAATGAAAATTACTCGTGTACTGTGTGACTGACGTTTCAGTCAGTCAGTGACAGTAACAGTAACCCAATGAGATTATAGTATAGCTGAGTGCGTGTGTGTTTGGCGGGGGGGGGGGCTCTACTATCTGGCGTTGGAGAAGTACATTCTTTGATGCTCAGATGGGACCAAGTTGCCAAATGGCTCGTTTCTTGGAATGTATTTTATCATTAGGCAACACCAGAAGGGTCTGGTGTGGTTATCAGTGTGGTTCGGGTCCAGCCAGGGCCTGTGGGATAAATATCCAGCAGTCCTTAGCCAGCCCCACTCCCCCCAGCTCCACCAGCCCTGAGTGTCACTCACCTTCAGGGGTGGAGGAGGCAAAATCGCATGTTGTACGAGAGACAGAAACCAGCATTCCAGTCTTCCCCCCTCACCCCGACTCCCCAATCTGGGGATGCTCTGTGGCTTCATCCCCTGTCTGTCTTTTCATCTGTCAGGCAGACGCTGCTGGTCCTGGATTATTTCACCAGGTGTACACAGGGGTTCCCTGTGCCCCTGCATCACTGAGGAAAGACGTGACTATGCTGAGGCCAGGGTTCTGGGATGGACATCAGTAGATCATAGCCCATCCCAGACTCTGAGGTATTCAGCTCCATGAAGACACTAGGGAGCTGTGGAAGAAGTTAGAGCAGGACTGATGTGACCAGGAGCTATTGAGCACCAGGCAGGGATGCTGGTGGGGGCTGCTGTTGGCACTCCAGGCAGGAGTCTGGGGCAGAGCCTTGGAACCTGGGGCCTGGGAATGCTGAAGGCCAACCGTGCCAGCTCCCAGATTGGGGGAGGAGACTACAATCAAGCAGCCCCACCAGGCCCAGCTGCTTCTTGGGCACGGGTCTACGTGGGGCCACCGCAACCCTGGTTGCGGGAAAGGTGGGCCTGGGTTCCCATCTAGCAAAGAGGGGAAGTGAGCTTCTTTGGGGGCAGACTTCACTGACACCTACCGTGTCCTCCTTCAGGTGACTGTGGAGGCCCCATGCCAGGAATGATGGTCATGCCATGATGGGGAAGGGGGTGTTTCTGGAACACGTCTAGCATCAGTTCCTGCCTCCCTGCATCCCCAGCTGGGACAGCTCCCCCAAGCCAGGCACTGGCTGCTCAACTTGCCCCTTGCACCCGAGAAGAGTGGTCATGACAGTCAGTGCACCAGGCTCTGTCCATAAGGACACTAACCACAGAGGACTGTGTCCACAGAGGTCGCAGTCCACAGTGGATGCTGAGGCTTCACTGACTCAAATGGTGACCTGCTGAGGCCCTGGGAGAGCTGTGTGCTAATGGGAGCACGGCCTCCAGGGCACCTGGTGGGGATTATTCCTGCTCACCAGTGTGGCTCTGAGGCAGGGCTCTTGGGAATGGCCGTGGTGCATGTGGCTTAAGTCCAAGGAAAATTCTCACACCCCCATAGACACACAGACACATCAAAGACACAAGGACACAAAGATGTCCACATAGACACACCCACAGACACCCACAGACACTCATGCACACACACACACACACACACAGGTGCTCATGCACGCACAGCTGCACACACACAAAAGCAGGCACCTGTACATTCAGATGCTCTCAGAAACACAGGATCCATGTAACATTTGCACCTGGCCCCACTGGGGCTTCTACAGGACCCAGGGTGGCTGGAGGGCATCCCTGAAAAACATGGGGACAACCCTGGCCACCCGGCTCACGCTGTCCTGTCCGGCAGGATGGACCCCGTCGAGGACACACTGCGGCGGCTGCGGGAGGCCTTCAACGCGGGGCGGACGAGGCCGGCCGAGTTCCGGGTTGAGCAGCTGAAGGGCCTGAGCCGTTTCCTGCAGGACAACAGGCAGCTGCTGAAGGACGCACTGGCCCAGGACCTGCACAAGGTGAGGGTAGAAAGGTCCAGCCTTGGGGCTGCTGCATCCTTCCTAGGTAGGGCTGCATCCTCTGTAGCATCCTTTTCCCCTAAGGAGGAGGGTCTTGACATCTGATCTGACCAGCTGTGTGCCCAACTTTTTCCTGTTTATTCAACAGATCCTTCCCTGGTATGTAGTGTGTGACAGGCACAGTGTGACACTGACTCAGAAACACACACAGCCACCCTGTGAGGCAGGTTTGATTGCTGTTGCCAGTTTATCAAGGGGGAAACAGAAGCACTCGTGTAAAGTCACTGGCCCGAGGTCAAAAGGCCAGGCAATGACAGACCATAGAATTGGAGCCCAGGTAGCCAGAGTTCAGAGTCTGGGCAACCAGCCTGTGTGCAGTTCCCACAGGACCACCATGCTGTCCTCTGATCATCTTCATATGCTTGTGGGGACACCCTCATGCCCTCCCTCAACAGACTCCTCAGCTTGGTCATGACTTTGAACTCCCCCACACCGCCTCCCCCACAGTCGGCCTTCGAATCAGAAATCTCCGAGCTCTTGCTGTGCCAGAACGAGGTGGACCTGGCCCTCAAGAGCCTGCAGGCCTGGATGAAAGACGAACCCGCGGGCAACAACTTGGTGAGCCCTGGTGGTGGGAGGGGGAGGGGGACTGGGCACGGGGCAGCCCTGGCCTGGACTCTTCCTGACCCTGAGACCAGGGAAAGCCAGTCTTCCCACTTAGGACGCCCTCTCCCAGGGAGCTGAGGACCCGGGCATACAGGTAGGGGCGTGGGGTTGGGGTGGTCTTCAACAGCGTCTCACTATCAGTCCTATGCCCCAGATTACACAGCTGGACTCGACCTTCATCCGGAAAGAGCCCTATGGCCTGGTGCTCATCATTGCCCCCTGGAACTACCCCGTGAACCTCATTCTGGTGCCCTTGGTGGGGGCCATCGCGGCAGGTGAATACAGAGTCCTGGTTCCCTGAACTCCCAGCCCACATCCCTTCCCGCAAGGACCTCCAGAGTCCTACGGGTGAGGACAGCGTCCCCTGAACCACTTCCCTCTCTGTCCTGCAGGGAACTGTGTGGTGCTGAAACCATCAGAAATAAGCAAGAGCACAGAGAAAGTGCTAGTCACACTGCTGCCACAATACCTGGACAAGGTGCGGAGGGCCCTGTCAATTAGCACCTGGCATTCTCACACCCCTGTCCCTACCACTGGGGAGGTTCCACTGTCCCCTGGCCTACCCCCTGAGTTGCCTGTCCCTCCTCGCAGAGCTGCTTTGCTGTGGTGCTGGGTGGGCCCCAAGAGACTGGACAGCTGCTGAAACACAAATTTGACTATATCTTCTTCACAGGTAAGGGCAGCCCTGGCCAGGATCTTAGGGACAGAGGACAGCAGAGAACATAGTGGAAAGGCAATGGAGGGGGCTACATTCAAGGGCAGGGATCAAATTGAAGCCAGAGTTGTCCCAATCAGCTGGGGCAGGCTGGCCAGGCCCCCTGGGAATCTCAGAGATTGGATCCTAGGGTGACCACAGTGAAGACAGACCCCTCTAGGTGGAGCAGGCCAACACTTGGACTGTGGAAAGAGATGCAGCCAAAGTCAGGTGTTTGGACCATCTGACCAAGGGCAAGTGAGGATGGGCTCTACGGGTCATGTCTCAGAAAGCCCTTGGGTAGGCAAGATCGCCATGGGTTCCACTACCAAGCACCTCACACCTGCTACCCTGGAGCTGGGCAGCAAGAACCCGTTATGTGGATGACAGCTGTGACCCCCAGACCATGGCTAATCCCGTGGCCTGGTTCCACTACTTTAACACCTGCCTTTCTGAGTCCCTTGGGGACTCTTGGGGACTGCTCTAGGTGGGGATGAACAGGGTCCCAGATTACATAGTGGCAGAGTGGCAAGGAGAGGTCAAGAAGGACTGGCTCTAGCTGACTCCACTGCCTCTTAAGGGAAGAGCAGGGTCCCCAGGTGAGGCCATCACCTGGACAGGATGACTGAAGAGCCACTCTAGTAACCTTCCATGCCCCCAGGAAGCCCTCATGTAGGCAAGATCGTCATGACCGCAGCCACCAAGCACCTCACACCTGTCACCCTGGAGCTGGGCGGCAAGAACCCATGCTATGTGGATGACAACTGTGACCCCCAGACTGTGGCCAACCGTGTGGCCTTCTTCCGCTATTTCAACACCGGCCAGACCTGCGTGGCCCCCGATTACATCCTGTGCAGCCCTGAGATGCAGGAGCGGCTGCTGCCCGCCCTGCAGAGCGCCATCACCCGTTTCTATGGAGACGACCCCCAGAGCTCCCCCAACCTGGGCCGCATCATCAACCAGAAACATTTCAAGCGACTCCAGGGACTGCTGGGCTGTGGCCGCGTGGCCATAGGTGGCCAGAGCGATGAGAGCGACCGCTACATCGGTGAGCTCCCTTCTTGCCTTTCACAGCCCATCTGGGCTGAGCCCCTTCTTGCCGAGGGGCCCTGGTCGGGACCGTGACTCCCAGTGTCACGATTCCAGAGCACAAACGCTCCACGTCACTGTGGTTCTGAGCCAGTGATGCCTGGATTCTACACGCTGGTCCGGCTGAGGTCAGACCCCAGGTGGTTTAAAATTCTGTCCCACCTCTGCTGTCCCTTGAGGCCAGGACCCCAGACCCTCAGATCCTGAGTCCAGATTCCAGGAGGTCAGACCCCGGAACTCCTGGCCTGGAACCTGGGTCCTGGCCCTGTCAGAGCTCCTGCCCGCGGCATCCTGGCTACAGCTTGGGAACTGAGCTGTCCCCTGTGCCCACAGCGCCCACGGTGCTGGTGGACGTGCAGGAGACGGAACCAGTGATGCAGGAGGAGATTTTCGGGCCCATCCTGCCCCTGGTGACCGTGAGGAGCCTGGACGAGGCCATTGACTTCATCAACCGGCGGGAGAAGCCGCTGGCCCTGTACGCCTTCTCCAACTGCAGCCAGGTGGGCCTGCGAGGCTGGTGGTGACAGGGGTTGAAACTGGTGTGAAGTGGTCACATCCCCTGGGTGGGGTGGGGGTACTTAAGAGCAGCAGATGCTTTAAGGATGACTGACCCAAGCCACAGCATGCTGTACAAAGACACCTGGTAGAGGTGTCTTAAGCAGAGTCAACCCTGCCAGGCGTGTGGCTGGCCAGCTGTCTGTAACAGTCTGGCAGCCTCTACTTTCAGGGACAGGTGTGCTAGGAGTCCTGTTCCCCATGGTGAGCAGAGCCCCAGATGAGGTTGGGGGACAGCACAGGCCAGGTTGGTCACCATGGGACCTCCGTGCATTCCTACAATGTCCTAACCCTAACCCTGCCTCAGGGTCCCTGGGCTGCTGTTTGGTCCTAACTACCAGTGTCTTCCCTAACCATCCCTGAAAGCCGTCCAGTGCCCCCTAGTGGGCGCTCAGATGACATGATGAGAAGCAGAGGGAGAGCTGGGCAAGGCATGCAGATTCAGGAGCCCCTCTGCTCCTCAGTGGGGAGGTTGGGGCTCCAGCCCTTGTCCCAGACTACAGGAGCCCACCACCCTGCTGCTCTCCACCTCCCCCAGGTAGTGAACCAGGTGCTGGAGCGCACCAGCAGCGGCACCTTTGCAGGCAACGAAGGCTTCATCTACCTGACTTTACCATCCCTGCCACTGGGGGGAGTTGGTGAGTCCCTGCTCTCCCCCACCACTCAATCCACCACCCCAGGAAGGTTGGCTTGGTACCCCAGACCAGCAAGTGCTCAACTTTTTTTCTTTTTTTTTTTTTGGCTGTCCTAGAGTTTGAACTCAGAGCTTTGCACTTGCTAGATAAAAGCTCTACCACATGAGCTAAGTCCCCAGTCCTTTTAACTCTGGTTATTTTTGAGATAGGGTCTCACATTTATGCCCAGGCTGGCCTGGGCTGCGATCCTTCTTTTTTTTTTTTTT